TTCTTTTAGACACTTGCTTTTTTGTGGTCTTAGTTATTGTGGTGGTGATGTGTTTTTGTTATGCAACAAATTTCTTATGATGCATTTTTTTCAAAAACTCTGCAATATTCAAAAAGTATTTTATTTCCCAAATATATATGAATGTATTTATAATTGTATACTTATATTACTGTACTAATATTTTATAAATACAAGATAAAGTTTAAGAAGAATAAATATAAATACAATTTTTACTCTTCCACTAATTCTTTTTAACGTCCTTCAAGGTATATACTTTGCAGACCCTTTCTCTAATGTAGGTGAAGTTTTCTGTTTTTCTTGCCCTTTGAGTATGTGTATATGAAGTATAAGCTTTAGGATACAATGAAGAGATATTCATTTAGCTTCATAGAATGTGTTCTTTTCATTGTGTGGAAAGCAACATCTATTAGGCACTTTAGGTTAGAAAGTAAGTGAAACAAATGTTAATAAATTGGGAGTTGGCTCATTGATTCAACAAAGATAGAGGTCTTTTATTTTGCTAGAAGTGAAAATTAATTCTGGGAATGGGGGCTTTTATTTTCCTTCTATGGGGGCACTGCTCTTATTTTGTGCAGTTTCAACTCTATACTTCATTTTATTGACTGCCAGTAAACTGCACCCTAAAGAATTAAAATTTTATGTATTAGAGAGGTATTGTAGTCAATGAAAAGTCACAGATCTGATTGAGATAATGACTCCTAGTCAAATAGGGAATGCACTAGTGTGTCTCTTACAAGGATGTTATTTGTGAAAAAGATTGCCTGTGATTCAGTGGTAAAATGATAGAAATGTCATTCTCTCTGTCCTTGAAAGTGGTTAAGCATTCAGAGTAAGGATGTCTGAAAGAAAGACAGTTCATTAGGGTTTGCTCTCAGAGGTGCATTTTATTTGGAGAAGAAGAGTAGGTTAACCAGATGGATTATTCAGAACATTTTAACCTTACCGGGAATCGATTATAGTTGGATATTTCAGTGGCACATTATTGGAAGGGCTTGGTTGGACACATAGGCTCAGAGGAGCAAAGTGCCAGTATATGGTAAGTTCAGTTACTCATTTGTTCCCAGCACAATTTGGATTGTGATTATCTGTGTGTACATATAGTTAGGTGTCTTTCTCTCTATCATACTCCAAAACTTGTACTATCCTCACAGCTGATTAAATAATGAAAATACCGATCTTTTTTTTTCAGTTTCTTTTTTCATCATTATGGTTGTTTGTTTATTTCTAGGCTAATTCCAGGTGTTATTGAGAACCTGTTCATTTGCCCCATGTAGTATACTTAATACTTAATAATGCTTATTACTAAAAATAAGAATATTTGCAGTGGCTAACATTTACCAAATACTTATTACATGCTAGATGCTTTTACATATTTTTCTGTAATTCTCACAGTAACCCAGCCAAGGCATGTGATTTTTATTCCAATTTTACAAATGAGGAAACTGTTAATCAGAGAGGTTAGAATTTGTCCAAAGTTACGCAGTTAGTGTAAGAGAGTTAATATTTAAACTTACAATTTTTTCCCCTAACACCATGGGTCTGTATGACCTACATTGTTGTTCTATGGTTTTGCTTTAGACTTCACAGCTCTTCTTGTTTGCTTCTGCTATCCTTTCCACTTGGAATGTCCTGGTCCTACCAGGTCCAGTCTCCACTAGTAGCACATGTACTCATCATTTAAGCCCCATACTAAATCCCACCTTTTTCTGAAGTTTTCCTGGATAGCCACATTTGGAAGTAAACTCTGCCTCCTTTAAATCCCCACAACACTTTGTACCTTTCTTCATATATTTATTTTGCCTTGAGTTATTATTTCTATACATATTTTACTTTACCAACTAGAAACTATCTTTGTTCCTCACAGCCTAAGACAGCCTTGAACATTTAAGATACTCAGGCAAAAAACAGCCATCAAAATAAGAGTGAACACCACTAATGCATTTTTAAAAAATTTGAAGAACATGGCAATATGATAAAGATTTGTGCATATGTGATCATTTTTGCTTCTTGGTACCTGGAAATTTTGCTTAATTTTACTAGTGGTATAACTAGATATGGCATGCATTTCTTAGTTTGGTGAAAAGCTTCATATTTTTAGTTATCATTTGATATTTATATTTTTCATTTTTTTTAAATATGTTTTTATTAGAGAGAGAGGGAGGGAGGGAGAGAGAGAAACATCGATCGGCTGCCTCCTGCACATCCCCCACTGGAGATCGAGCCCACAACCTGGACATGTGCCCTGACCTGCAATCGAACTGGGACCTCTCAGTCCATGGGACGATGCTCAATCCACTGAGCCACACTAGCTGGGCTTATGTTTTTTTAGATAGAAGATAAATAATAAAGAAGTCTGAGAGAGGTGGGAAGAACCTGCTGTTTTAATTTTATTCACAGAAGGGGGTCAGATTATGTTAATAATTGGCTCTATATAATATTGGAATTCAACAGTTGGTTATCTTTGGGTATATTGTCTTTTGTCTTTATGGACATATATGGGATTGCTGAACTGTTTAGAATAGGTTAATGGTACATAGTCTACTTCTCTCTAAATAGATTGTTTCCATTTATAACTTACTCTAGTATTTCATTGTTTTTATTTTACTTGTTCTAAGTCATCTTCTCAGATAATGGCAATTAACCCAAAACTTACTAAGAGGGGAGTGGGGAATTTATTATTCAAATTTTGAATGTTTTTTGTTTCAAATCTCTTTAAATATGCCTTTTTTCTCTTCTAACTTATTGATTTACTTTGACATTTCAGTCAAACAAAAAAGAACTTAAAACTTTCATAAACACCTATATGATAGAGATTTAGTTGTAATATAATTTATTTATTGGGTTTTAAATTCTTGAATTTCTGTTAGACTCAAAGTTCTGACTATGTTTTTATCGTTTCTTCCATCTGAATTGTACATATTCTTGCCTTCAATTTGGCTGAACTCTCAAAGGATGCTAAGATTCTATTTTTTTACCTCCTTTGAGGGAGAAGTCCTTTTATTAAGATAATCTATTGAAAATGAACATTAGCCCTGGCCAGTTTGGCTCAGCAGTTAGGGCATCGTCCTTCAGACCGAAGGGTGGCGGGTCCTGGTCCTGGTCAGGGGTTGTGCAGGAAGCAACCAATCGATGTCTCTCTCTCCCTCCCTCCCTTCCTCTCTATATAAAAATCAATGGAAAAATATCCTTGGGTGAGGATTAACAAGAAAGAAAAGAAATGAACATTGGGCTTTTTCATCCTATGTCACTTGGACCTTATGAAACTGCCAAGAAAGCAAAAGGTGAACAGGAGACAGTAACTCAGAGAGGCCTTATGGCTCTTGATAAGACAGTGCGTAAAATATCCACAAAATTATGAGATTGACAGAAACAGAAACACTCTTATTTTTAAAATTTAGAAATTTGATTATTAAACATCCGTTGGAAAAATAGATTAATCAGTAATATAATATTCTGAAGGCATTTGACATTAACCAGAATATACTATATTAAATGGTTAAAGTTTTAGTTCTGGTGACAAGAACTTAAATTCTCCTTTATAAAATTACTATTATTGTTAATGTTAAATTATTGTAAAAGTAATACAGGTTCATTCAAGAGAACTAGTATAACATAGTTCTAATAGTAGCTAAATTTAGAGTTTGTTATATTTTGCTGTTCAATGTAAACTTGTTTATTCCTCCTAACAGTAATATGAGGCAGTAGTAGTATTTTTCTTAGTTCATAGATGAGGAAACTGAGCACAGAAAATAAAGGGACTTTAGCAAGGCCGTACAATATTTGAATCCAGACATTCTGGCCATAGAGTCTGTGCCTTTTTTTTTTTTGTATTTATCTTCAGATAGAGCGGGAGGGCGAGAGGAAGGAAGAGAGAGAGAGAAACATCGATGCGAGAGAGACAGAGACATATCGAGTGGTTGCCACCCACACGACCCCAACCAGGGCTGGGGACAAACTGCAACCGAGGTACGTGCCCTCAGCAGAAACTGAACCCGGGCCTTTCTCATCCACAGGCTGACACTCTAACCGCTGAGTTAAACTGGCCAGGGCGAGTCTGGGCTCTTAACCTCTTCTTCAGTATTGCTTGTCACCAGGTGGTTAAGAACTTGGGCTTTGGAGTAAGAAAGACCTAGGCTTAAATCTTGGCTGTTACTTATACTCTTGGGATAAGAGCATCTCTCTTGACCTCTCTGAACCTCAGTAATCTTGTTTATAAAACAAGGGCTGTTTGGGGGCTAAAATGAGATAAAGTATGTTAACTGTGTGGCACATTCTTTCGCAGACACTGTGCTTCTTCAGTAGATGGTATTGTTATAACAAATACTGATAAGTAAAACAAAAAAGTCACAAAAAGAAAAAACCATTGTTAACATTTTGAGGTATATCCTCCCAGTCTTTTAAAAATGTGTTCCTTGATTTTATTGATATATCTTCTATTTATGTTATTTTTCTTATTTTTATAACTTTTTCTTGTTTATATTTTACACAAAAGGCAGAAAGTCTTAAATTTGTCTGTATCACCTAGCAGTAAGGCAAGGCTGTTTCACCCTCTATGCTAGCCAAAATTTTTTCTCCCCATGTTTAGGAGTAAGTAAAGATGGAAGAGGACATAGAAGTACATACACTTTATTTCTCTTTTTAAACAAAAATGAGATTGTATTTGAATTAAATTTTCTGATACAATATCTACAAATCAACAAAATGTGGAATGCTAGAAATAGACAAATGAATATGTGCTTATATTAACTTTATTAAAAAACAATTAAATTCCTGTTTCAGATACTGAAAACTGAATGAACAGTCCTAATGAATGTAGTTTATTTCTTCTTGATGAGTGAGATTATAGAATTCTGATCATATATTACATGCTAAATAAATTCACTGAATGAGGTATAGCAATAACTAAACTAATCCCCCTTTCTGTAGCCTTAGCAACAAAACATGGCTAATGCTCCTTTTTTTTTTTCTTTTCCTTATAGGTCTACACACAATGAGCTGGAAAAGAATCGGTGAGTCAGTGATGTAGCTATCATTTATGTTTAAAAAGCAAACTGAACATTTTACCTGTGAAAATAATGTAATAATGCATATGTAGTTATATATACATATTTAATACTTTTATTGATTTTTAGAGAGAGAGGAACAGAGAGGGAGAGAGAGAGAGAGAGAGAGAAAGAGCGATGGGAGAGTGGAACATTGATCAGCTACCTCTTGCATGCCCTCTACCAGGCATTGAGCCTATAACCTTAGCCATGTGCCCTGACCTGGAATCGAACCTGCAATCTTTTGGTGCATAGGCAATGCCCAACCAACTGAGCCACACCAGCCAGGGCTGTAGTTATATATTTAAAAAAAAAAAAGTATAGCGTATCATGATTCTAATATATATGTATTCCCTCCCAAAAATGACTTAAATAGTAAGCTTATACTATCCAAACTAGAAATATATTTTTAAGTTTATTTGAATTTTGAGTTATGGTATAGCCTTCTTTATTTCTGTCTCTGAAAACAGGTATATTGTGATAAAGTTATGGCTTAAATATAGTCTTGCTAAAGGATTAGGTTCCTGTAGTGTCACTAATACATATTATGACAAATTGTAGAACATTGAATTTCTCTTTCTTTGCAGTTTATTCATTTATTCATGCAACAAATCTTTATCAAGCATGAACTGTATGTCAGTGCCAGACGGGCATAATGCTTTACATAGAAAATATAAGAATTCATAAGATAGCTTTTTTTCCCTTAAGGACAGACAGGCAGGTAATTAGAATTCTATGTAGTGTGAACCCTGGCCAGTTTGGCTCAGCGATTAGAGCTTCAGTCCTCAGATGGAAGAGCCGCAGGTTCAATTCCAGTCAAGGCGCATATTTTATTCGCTGTTTGGTCCCAGCCCTGGTTGGGACCTTCCCTTCACTCTCTCTGGGAAAATATCCTCAGATGAGGATTAATGAAAAAAAAAGAATATTTCATTTGCCCAGCCAGTGTGGCTCAATGGATTGACCGTCATCCCATGGACTGAAAGGTCCTGGTTTGATTCCTGGTCAGGTCACACGCCCAGGTTGCAGGCTCAAACCCCTTTAGGGGGCGTGCAGGAGGCAACCAATTGATGTTCCTCTCTCACATCGATGTTTATATTTGTCCCTTTCTCCCTCTCTCTAAAAAATCAATTAAAAAAAGAAAAAGCATATTTAAAATTCTATGTAAGGTGATAAATATGGTAATGGAGAAGCAGAGGGTGCTGAGAGATTATTTTAGAGGGTCACCTGATTCTTTTTTGAGGGAGTCTTGGAAGGCTCTACAAAGGCCTTCTGTATATTCAAGAAACTGCAAGGGGTTCAATATGTGTATAAAAGATTGTATCATGAGGCAAGCCAGGCCAGAGGTTTAACAGCTATGCTGAAGAGTTTGGACTTTTTCTAAAAGCAACAGGGGGCAGTCGAATGATTTTAACATGGGTTGTCATATGCTCCAGTTTGTATTTTAGAAAGATCACTTTGGCTGCAGTGTGAAGAATTGGTTGATGGGGAGAAGGGATCTCAGAGACAAAAACACTCCTGGAGGCTATTGGGAGCTTCCATGGTAAGAGATGATGAGGGCCATTGGACATAGAAGTAGATAGAATAAAGAGACAGTATGGAGTAGAATCAATAGAACCTGTTGATTGTTTGCTATGGAAGGTTAAGTTTTAGGTGGTATTACTATTTACTGAGAAAAGAAATATAGGAAGAGGACAAGTTTGAGAGAGAAGATGAGGATTGTACAAATATTCTCTCTTTGATAGGGATTAGATTAGTAACTAACAAATTGGAATTGCCTGCACCAGTCATTTTTGACAAAAAAGATCTCTGTGACCTTCAACTTTTGTCCTGCGTATTTTCTTTTAAAATAGATGGGACCTTACAGATTGACAAGCCTAACTGCCTCACTGCAGATGAATTTAAATGTCAAATTCTCTTGAACAGGCTTAGCATAGTCCTCCAAGCTGACTTAGTGGCTTTTACCACTTTGTTTGCACTGTGCTCTGTTCATATCTCCTACTGTAAACTTAATCAGGTAGTATTATCTATTCATATGTCTCTTTCTGCCAAATGACTGAGTGCCTCAAAGGCAGGGATTCTGTTTTGTTCAGTTTTTGTTTTGTTCAAATTTTGTCCTTAGTCTCTATCATTTGATTCATGTATAGTAGATGATGGCTTCAATACTGAGTGAAGGATAAAAGTGGAGCGAAGTTCAGTCAAAGACGTTTGCTAGTTTGTGGCAAAGCAGTTTGGCAGGAAACCTTTAATTTTAAAGAATCTCTTTTCTGCCTGGCCGGTGTGGCTCAGTGGATTGAGTGATGTCCCATGGACTGAGAGGTCCCAGTTCAATTCCTGGTCATGGCACATGCCGGGATTTCAGGCTTGATCCCCGGTGGGGCGTGTGCAGGAGGCAGCCGATTGATGTGTCTCTCTCACGTTGATGTTTCTCTCTCTCCCTCACACTCTATCTGAAGATAAATGGAAAAATATCCTTGGGTGAGGATTTAAAAAAAAAAAACAGTCTCTTTTCTGCCTTATATTATGGCTAGGTAAAACACAGCACAAAGACCAAGAAATAACAGCACAGAGGATTTGACAAAGAAAACCTTACACTGAACTTGAAATTAGAGCACAGAATATATTTGGGGCCACATGTTTTAAATACTTGAATGTGGTCCTTGAGAGACCCTCATTGGAAACCTGGAAAATACGTTTAAAAAAATAAAACCACAACAACAAAAAAACACTGGCGTAAAGAGACTTTTCAGTAATCTGTTTGGAATGGAGCTCTTTAAATCTTTGAGTAAACTTTAATGCATTCTGCATATCAATTCTGACTTACTGATAACTTTGATATACCCTGTAAATTGTTTAATCTAGTAGTGTCTGTCTGTGGCACTGTGTAACATGTGTGGCTTTTATTACCTGGACAGTATACAATCTCCAGAGTCTCCAGTGAAGGCTTTTTGTTCTCATCTTATTTACTTAGGTCTAAGGCTTTCTGGTTGGTTTCCTACCCTACCTCACTTAAGGCATGGCTCCCTCATCCTCTTCTGTCCTCTTCTCATAGTCCTAGATAGCTTTTATTTCTCAAATTATTTCTTCCCCTCTCTCCCTTCTTCCCTTTATCCCACCACCCCTCCCTTTCTTCCTTAAGGCTTAATTAAAAGGCAATATAGAATTAACCTTTCCAAGATGAATTTGTTTTTAAAGGAGTATTGATCAACATAAATAAATCTTATTTATGGGAATATGTCATAGAGTGAGTGTCAAAGGAAGAATCCAATTTAATAACCTGTATTTCACTTCTGAAAAGTTACCAGCTTGTGATAAGGCAAAAAACAAACATATTGGTAGATATAGGATGATTTAAGGGAGGGGGGTATTTTAGCCAAATTTGCGAGAAGCCAGATATAACAAATTTTTTAAAAATTTAAGCCTGTATTTTATTACATTTGTAAGCCCCCACCTAGTTCTATTTAACAATTATTTTTTCCCAAGGCACTGTTTTTATTTGACATTTTAAATTAAAAATGTTAACCTAGCTTTGGCATCCTTTAAAATAAATAGAATTTTGGCTTTACCTTTCATTTGCTTTTGAGGGTGAGCTCATATGAGGAAAGTAATTAATTACCAAAAGGGCAATTTGATTTTTGTCTTCATTCTGAAAATATATTCCTGAAGTAATTCATATTCTTGAAAATTTGCCAATTTACATATATATTGATGTCAGAAGTTGTATGTTTGTTTTTGTTTCTTTTTTAGCTTGGTTCTAAAATCTTGCATATCAAGCTCCTTTGAGTTAGTGTTTTCTACTGGGACAGTGCAGTGAGAATTAGAGTAGATAGTTTTAAACTGTTAGTGAACAACAGAATAATTCCAGGTAGCTCTCTTAACAAAGCCTCAAGATCGTTGAAGCCCTGGGTCTGTCCTTGAGGAGACAATAGCCAACAAATGTTTAGGTTAATATTCCCAGATCTCAGAAAGAAGCCTAATGATGGAGATTTGGGGTCTTGTTGGCCCAGAGTAGGTTGTTCTGGTCCACAATTACTCCAAAATGCCTATAGCCCATTAGGGAGTTTTAGAAAGTTTCAGGACTAATAAATTCAGATTCTTTTTTGGATAAGTCCTGGGGGGCTTATTTCTGCCCCAAACCCTGACAGTACACTGAGCTGTCAGCATTTGTTTCTTGTCTACTTACCCTGTCTCCCCTAGACCCATAACAGGTTATAACAGACTAGTAGGTGAAGGTAAAAGGGAAGCAGAATACATTGAGATGTTGTGCATTCCCCAGAAACCTGTATGAATCATCTCATGGGAAAATGAATGAATCTTTGAGATTTAAGAAATAAGAATTTACATTAGCTTATCTTATGTGTTGGGTCCTTTGCCAGAGTAGAAACAGTACAGATTTTAGATTGCCTTATTGCTTTTTTATTTTATTAAATCAAAATTACTGTTGATGTTTTTGAAAGAACAACAACTTTAACAGGACTTTAATGGTCAAGAACCTTAGTGCTGATGGCAGGAGAGACCATCCAACCTTAATAACTATCATTCCATTGAAACAAAAGGCTCACTCTTATTGCAACTTTGGCATTAGGATATTATATAATACACTAAAATAAAGACAGGTGATTTTGTAAAGGGGAACACTTTACCTGATGGAGTTTATGCTTCACTTGTGAGGTCTTCATTCTTTTCTCATTCCATGAGTTGAAAATGGTAAACATTTTTATGAAGTCAAGATTGATATACACTTGGACACTAGAATATCATAAATAATTTCAACTTTTTTCTGTTAGAATTTTTAATGTATTAGTTATATTTAACTTAATGGTTTAGACATGATAATGAATATAGTATTTTTTTTCTAAATTATCTACATGTCCCCATTTAATGTGAAAATATTGAGAAAGTGGTTGTTTTAGTCCATCTTATCTTAGAACAACATGTAAGAGTAAATCTTTGTGACTATGGGTAAGGCA